AGGCGCGGGTGTCCGGGCTGCTGCCCCGGGAAGGCCCCTGCCTCCGCGTGTGTTGGGGGTGCCCGGGGAATGCCTGGGTGGGTGCCCTGGGGAAGGGCTGTCTGTGGGGGTGTGTGTGTGTGTGTGTTGGAGCGGGGCAGGCAGGGAAGGACCGGGGAAAGGCCAGGTAGTCCCAGTGTGTGGCCTGCCCCAGATTCTCACACCATCTGGTTTTCTCACAGGACAGAGCGGGATGCCTCCAACTGGTCCACAGAGCGGCTGAAAACTCTCCTCCTGCCTGTCAGGGTGGAGAGTGAGGAAGGGGCTTGTGAGGTGACAGAAGTGAGCAAACTGGATGGAGAGGCCTCCATTAACAACCGCAAAGGGAAACTTATCTTCTTCTATGAGTGGGCTATCAAGCTGGCATGGACCGGTGAGTGATGTTCTCCCCTCTTGTTTCAAGGCCAGATTTAAGTATAAGACTACGGATAAGGATACTTACCTCATTTGGGAAATAATAATAAAGGGAACTATTGTGTTGTGATACAATACGAGTTTGCCTTTACAATAACCGGAGTAAGAAATGTTGATCTGAACAACATAATTGTAATTGCAGGCACCTCAAAGACAGGAGTGAAATACAAAGGTTATGTGGAGATTCCTAACCTCTCAGATGAAAATGACATCGATGAAGTTGAGGTAAGCACAGCTAAAGGCTAATACTGCTGGCTGTATGGCTGTTCTAACAGGAATCCTCACAACATTAATATTTCCTTCCATGTTACCTTTTTTAAAACACTTGTGTAGAACTTTTTTAGTGTTAGAGACTGCTTAAGTTAATAGAATCACAGAGTGGTTTGGGTTGGAAGGGACCTTAAAGATCATCTAGTTCCAACCCCCCTGCCATGGGCAGGACAGCTTCCACTGGACCAGGTTAGTCAGAGCCCCATCCAGCCTGGCCTTGAACACTTCCCGGGATGGGGCATCCACAACTTCTCTGGGCAACCTGTTCCAGCGTCTCACCACCCTCACAGTAAAGAATTTTTTCCTTATATCGAATCTAAATCTACCCTTCTTCAGTTTAAAACTATTACCCCTCATCCTGTCACTATACTCCCTGATAAAGAGCCCTCCCCATCATATTGCATCTTTCTCAAATTAATTCCTGTCTTCTAGATATAAGGGCTCTATAGCACATGAAAGTATTTACGTACATGCGTACATTCCTGTAGGCTGAGAGACATGAAGTGAAAGATTCACAAGCAGCAGTGCAGTTTTATTAAAGTTTAGGTGGAGTCTAACCGTGATGTTGAATTGAGTAATAAAAGGACCGTGCAAGTACAGCTTTGTTAATCAGCACTCATCCTTCTTGTTTAGATCCACGTCAGCCTTGCTAAAGATGAGCCTGACACTAACTTGAAGACCCTGATGAAGCAAGAGGGTGCCAAAAAAATAAGAGATGCAATGAAAACATACATCAGCACTCTCAAAACAGGTATGTAACTGAGAGAGGGAGGTGTTATGGAAACCCATATGGGCTAATGCTAAAGAAGGGTAATGAGAGGAGTGAATATTAGTTCCTCACCCCATCTCAACAGGAAGGTGTCAGAACAACAACAGTAACTTTTCTGTCTCTTGAAAATGGTTAGCATTTGGCAAGAAGCACTTCTGTCTCTAGATGCTGTAGCACAGCCCAGAAAGATTGTTTTTGGTGATAACCCAACAATAAATGGCATTTTTGCATTTATGTTTTAAAACTGAGAATGTCCTTCACATGCTGAAGCTCAGCTTCACACACTGAAGCGCAGCTGTAGAGAAAATAAAGCCAGTAAAATGTGTTTGCTACCCCAGTGACACAGAGTATCAGTCACTGCATGTGGCGCAGTCTGGCCTTTAGTTTGCTTACTCCCTTGGAAGGTGATGTCTTCTCCCTAGTTTGTTGTTTTTTCTCCTTTGCCACACTAGTAAAGGCATCTAGTGTTATTTGGATTTGAGAATGACTGACAACTGGAAATTGCTCTACAGGTTTTGTTGGTGTCATTGAATGAGCTGTCTCAGCATCTGGATTAAAATTACTTTATTTTAGAGGATAAATCTGATTCCAGCAGTTGGAGTTAAATCAGTGTGCTTTGGTTGAGTTTGGCTTTGCTTTAGTACAGGCCGGGAATGCTACAGTTGCTTTTTATATCCATTTACCTGTATTACACTACACGTGCTAGATATTCAAGTTCTGCTGAGTACAAACCACCACTGGTTGCTGTTTTTCCAGGATCCAATTTCTGTACTCTTGGGTTTTTTCAGGTGTTTTAGTGTTCAGGGTGGGAGATGCAGTCACTCAGTGGAAGATGAGAATGTTATTCAGGAAGAACTGTATGATCTTGTGGGCTGGAATAAATAAGAATTGGTGGGAACTAAGTATTGCGGGGTACAAGATTATACACATACAATAAAATTCTGCTGTATAATAGAATTTTGCCAGTTTGAACAGATGAAGAGGAAAGAGAGAGAGCAAACTGTTTTATAATTGGTAAAGGCAGAAGTGATAGAGCTGGAGAAGAAGCAAACATGATGCTGAAAGAGGCTGAAGCTTCTGGTGGAGTTATAAAAGTGCTAGTGCTGCGGGACAGGGCACTGGTGAGACCTCCCTTGGGTTTCTGTGTGTAGTCCTGGCATCTGGTGTCAAAAAAGATAAATCGAAGATGGAGTTGGAAGCAACTTTATTCTGTGGTACAATGATATGAGAAATGCAGAGCCACTCTGAAAAGAAGTGGAAAAGCTTGGTTTGGTTTGTCTAGACCAGCAAGATAAAGTATTTGAGATGTGATTGCTATTTGTATTAGAGAGCGAGAGAGAAAAAAAGCTACAAAAGTGTAAGGCATTACATTGAGAGCAACACGTGGAAGGTAGTGATCGGTATGTCTAGGCTAGGAAGAGGAGGTAAGTTCCTAACTGTTAGTGTAGGCAGGTTCTGATACGGCCTTCAGTGGAGAGTAGAGAGGGCAAGAAGAATTAATTGCTTGTAAAAAGAGGTCTGTTTACTTTTTTTAAAGTTGTTTTGAGTCGCGGGTGCTAGCAAGAGCAGGGGAGAAACCAGGAAGCCCTTTTTGATTGTGTATTTCAAAGAACAGTTAAAAGGTTTACTTCATCTTTTATTAGTTTCATGGGTGCATTCCTGTCTTTCCAGAATTCACCCAGGGCATGATTTTGCCCACAGTGAATGGTGAACATATGGAAACAACACCTCAGGTGGCTCCTAAAGCGGAAGACCGCAAGGTAAATAAAACTGCAAACGTGCTTTTGGATCTGTGAAGAAAGGTACGCAGTATTAGATTCTGGGGCTTACAGGAGCAACCTGTACTGTTTATAGGATATATATTTTCGGGAATTGGCAATCTGTGGTGTAGGCCTGACTGTCTCGATTTGCAGCACGTGATATTTCTTAATTCAAGCAGAGCGATAAATCTGCTTTTTAAACTCAAATATGGTTGTACCTAATTACATCTTTACCAAAGGCCTTTGTTTTTTCTCTTGGATATGTGAACCACTTGTTGAGATTTTGTGAAAAAAGTACGTGTGTGTTTGTTTTGATTGTCGTTTTGTTTAGACGGCTGCTAGCAGCAGTACTGCCACATCGCAATCCAAATCCGTAGGAGTCAAGATCCCTACGTGTAAGATCAGCTTGAAGGACACCTTCTTAACATCTCCTGAGGAGCTCTACCGGGTATTCGTTACTCAGGAGGTAATGCCAGGCTTGTTCTGAGAATTGTTCTTTGCACATAGGAGGTTGTTCCTAAGAAGCTTTTTAAGGCATTCTGTAGGGCACTCACAATCCGTAAGAATGGAATAAGAAAGCTGGTCTGCAGAACAGTTGCTTAAAGGTCGCGTGTGCACCTTTTCACACAGTTGACAAGAGAGGATTAGTGCCAGCCAGAAGCCAGTTCCAGCACCTATCTGTAGGTGTATCCCTTACTGCATGTGGCCAGATCTCTTGGGATTTACAGTTGTGTGCTTTTTGGTTTGGTTTTGTTTTTTCCTTTTAAGGCTAGGTGGTACCAAAGTGTACTTTGGGAGTAGCTTCCCCTCTCCTGCACACTATTATATAGTTTAAGAAGAGAGAGCAGCATTGTATCATTATTTAAACACGGTCTTAGTCTTTTGTTCCTCCTTTTTTTAAAAAAAAAAAAGCAAAAGCAGAAAATACGGCCTTTTCTTAGAACTAGGATTCATTAAGGAATCAACAGAGTAAATCAAAGTGTGGCTTACAGAACACTGCATAGAATATGAAAGCTAGGGGTTCTTTTTCCTTGGCAGGCAGAATGCTGCTGTAGTGGCTATAACCTTGCTTTTCTGGCCAGGGCAGGGTTTTTGTCTTTTCTTGATGAAGACCTTACACTATTGACTTACCTCCTCTTCCAGAACTTTTGTAGCTGGGTGGGAGGCATCGGGCAACAAGTTTGTAAGCAGATAATGCCAAGTAATACAGGCCTCCTCCTGAATTCTTTTCAGATGGTCCAAGCTTTCACCCACGCACAAGCCACCTTGGAGGCTGATAAAGGAGGCAAGTTTCAGTTACTGGATGGCAGTGTCACAGGAGAGTTTGTTGACCTAGTAAGTACCAACTAGAGCAGGTGTATCTTGCTCAGGGGCAGCCTCTTTATTTTTGAGGTATCAATTCTGTAACAATGCTTCAGTTAGCTAATTGTGGAGTTCTACCTGGTGCCCAATAGTTACCTATAATCGCTGTGGCTATTGAAGCATTCCTTATAGTATGGATTAATATATGGGACTTCAGTCTGGGGAGAAAATCTGGCTTCCAGTCATGCATCTACCCTGTCTCTGTGTAATTTTACTTATTTATTAGGGGTTGGAGAGGTGTTAAAGGTAGTAACTGACCCTTTTCCTCTTTAGCCCTCCTGGCACTAAAGTCTTCTGGACAGGGACACTGTCTCAGTGTTTGGGGCTGTACTATGGCCTACGTTCCTAGAAGAGGAGTGGAACGAAAAGGACACTTAAA